GATCCCAGAATGTCCCGCTTTTCCTTAGGACGTCCCTACAGTGGTACCTCTGGTTAAGTACTTAATTCGTTCTGGAGGTCCATTCTTAACCTGAAACTGTTCTTAACCTGAAGCACCACTTTAGTTAATGGGGCCTCCTGCTGCTGCTGCTGCTGCGCCGCCAGAGCACGATTTCTGTTCTCATCCTGAAGCAAAGTTCTTAACCCGAGATACTATTTCTGGGTTAGCGGAGTCTGTAACCTGAAGCGTATGTAACCTGAAGCATATGTAAGCCAACGTACCACTGTATTATCATCAGACAAATGTGGGAGGGTGGGGAGTTTTGTGACCCCTGAACCAAGGAGATAAGCTACAATGTTTAGAAGACACTTGAAGGCAGTTTTTAAGGTTTAATGTTCTGCTATGTTTTATATACAGTGTCTATCGGAAGCTGCCCAGAGTGGCTGGGGCAACCCAGTCAGATGGGTGTGGTATAAACAATATAATTTCGATGATGATGATGATGATGATGATGATGATGATGATGGAATAGGACATCCCTCTTTTCACTGGAGAAATGTTGGAGGGTATGTCAGCGTACAGAATGGCTTTGACTGGCCGGCTAAACCAGGGGAAGGCAGCTCAAATCCTTGGTGACTTAGGGACATCCCTGCCTGCAAAGACAGCCTCTGGCGGACAGAGTGGATGAGGTCAAGAGGGGGTCCAACGGTCAAGAAGGCTGCAGAGGGAAGGGAGGGGCAGATGGGGCTCGTCCACCTGGGAAGGGAGTCCACCTGCGAGAAGGAAAACTCTGATCCTAAATCTCCACTGCCTTGCAGGATATCTTTGGGAGAAGATAATGTCTCAGGAGGAATCCCTACACAAATTCATAAGTCCCTAAGGCCCTTGGATGGGCAACTCCTGCAGCCAAGCTGGTGCCAAACATCTTGCTCTGCTTTCCTTTGGACCCCCTCAGTGAGGCCGAGAGGGAGGTCCTGTCGTCCGGGCAGCCCAGGACCCCCAGACCCACAGCCCAGGCTTGCAGCCCGGGGAGACAGACAGATGCCAACCATGTTCTGCCTTTAAGCCTAGAATGAGGATGCTTCAACATGGGGTGCCCTCCAAGGCAGTAAACATGCATCTTTCTAGGGACTGTGGTTAAATCTTCCAATTCTGCAGAGATGGGCAGGCAATTAACCGGGGTGTTAATGAACTAATCCTAATGGTTTAATTGCTAATCTTAATTGCTCCCAGAGATAGTGGGGGGAGAATCACTTCTGATGCATTTGTCCTCTGCAGACCCTGCTCCCCAAAAGCAGTGTGCAGATGTGCTTCTTCTGGACCTCCCCCCCCCCAAATCAGTTTACTTTGCAAGTAAACTGGTCCTGAGGATAGATAACGACTGTGGCCAACGTCATGTGTACAGTGGTACCTCGGGTTACAGATGCTTCAGGTTACAGGCGCTTCAGGTTACAGACTCCGCTAACCCAGAAATAGTACCTCAGGTTAAGAAATTTGCTTCAGGATGAGAACAGAAATCATGCTCCAGTGGCGCGGCAGCAGCAGGAGGCCCCATTAGCTAAAGTGGTACCTCAGGTTACGAACAGTTTCAGGTTAAGAACGGACCTCCAGAACGAATTAAGTTTTTAACCTGAGGTACCACTGTACAATGGGACGCAGGTGGCGCTGTGGGTTAAACCACAAAGCCTAGGCCTTGCCAATCAGAAGGTCAGAGGTTTGAATCCCCGCGACGGGGTGAGCTCCCGTTGCTCGGTCCCTGCTCCTGCCAACTTAGCAGTTTGAAAGCACATCAAAGTGCAAGTAGATAAATAGGTACCACTCTGGCGGGAAGGTAAACGGCGTTTCTGTGCGCTGCTCTGGTTCGCCAGAAGCGGCTTAGTCATGCTGGCCACATGACCCGGAAGCTGTACGCCGGGTCCCTCGGCTAATAAAGCAAGATGAGCGCCGCAACCCCAGAGTAGTCCGCGACTGGACCTAACGGTCAGGGGTCCCTTTACCTTTACCACTGTACACTGCTTCCCAAACCATCAGTCAATGGGAGTGTGTGCAGAGCCCACAGGTCCAGTCCTCATGCAGGTGAAGAAAGGGCTAATGGAATTGAATCTTGACAGCTGCCTAATCCCAAATCAGAATTAGGGGGCCCTAGGTTTGCACAGCTGAAGCCCATAGAGGGCTCTGCTCTGGCCACATCTCAAACAACGCTGTTGTAGGGTTGGAAAAGGTTCAGAAAAACCCCCCAAAATTGATTTCTGCTGTGAGGAAAAGCTGCAGCATGTGGGCCTTTTTACTTTAGAGAAAAGGTGAGGAAGAGAGGACATGATAGAATTTTTAAAAAATATGCATGGAATGGAGAAAGTGGGTAAGGGGGGGGGGATTCCTTGCTGTTCACTTTCTCTGCACCACACCAAATTTTAAAAAAAAATTACTGTTTATAGAAGTTCTGGAAGTTTTTCTCATAACATTATAACTTGTAGACGTCCCATAAACTCAATGTCTGATGATTCGGGACAGATTATATATACAGATTCATTTTTTATTTTTTTTTAATAATAATTTTTATTAAAGTTTCAATCAAAAATTAAACAACCAAAAAAAGAAAAGAAAAACATCAAAGAAAAACACACAAATACACCATACAAATCTCAAAGAGAAAATAAAAAAAACCACAAAAGACAAAAATCAACAATAAAAAAAGAACATAACAATTAAAAAAACAATATCTCTTTTCCATTTCCGTCTTTAAATTTGCTTATTTTCTGGACTTCCTCATACCTCCCTCTTTTGTATTCCAATCCAAATTGTTTGTCCAGCAATTTCTTTTCCACTTTTTAATCCCAGTCTTTAATTTAATATAATATTGAAATATATAACTTCAACTTCTTTAAACCTAATCTTTAGTCTTAATGTAATATAACATTAAAATTTTACCTCTTAATTGTCAAATTTCCATTTCATTAAACATCTTTAATCCTAATCTTTAGTCTTGATCTATCATTAACCTTAACCTGTACAGCTGGGAACCGCTTATTTTCAGTCCAACATCACTCTAACATTCTTTAATTTTGCAATGTTTCTGAAGATAGTCTTTGAATTTCTTCCAATCTTCCTCCACCGACTCTTCTCCCTGGTCACGGATTCTACCAGTCATTTCCGCCAGTTCCAAGATTATATATACAGATTCATGAAGTGCAGAGTTAAAACTACAGAACTCCTCCCACAGGAGACAAAAATGGCAAACCAGCTTAAATGGCTTTAAAAGAGGACTGGGCAAGTTAGTGGAGGAATCAGAGAAATGTCAAGTTGGAAGGGACCCTGAGGGTCATCTAGCCCAACCCCGTGCAATGCAGGAATATGCAGCTATCATCCCATACGGGGATCGAACCTGCAACCTTGGCATTATCAGCACCACACTCTAACCAACTGAGCTATCCAGACCTATCGATGGCAGCAGGCCTTGCTGGCTCTGCTCTGCCTTTATGATCAGAGGCAGTATAAAGGCTTCTGAATCTCCGCTGCTGGAAGAAGGGCTCTTGCGCTCTGATCCTGCTCGTGGGTTTCCTATTGAAGAGGATGCTGGACGAGATGGCACCTTTTGGCCTGATCCGGCAGGCTCCTCTTAACTTTTTATTTTATTTTGTTTGATTGGTTTCATTTTACCTTCCAGTGTCCGTCATAGAATACTTAAAAAGTGGGACTGAGTTCCCTTACCTTTTTAAAAATTACAGAGATAGATAATAGATGAGAGAGAGAGAGAGAGAGAGAGAGAGAGACAGATAGATAGAGATCGGGGTCAGCAACCTTTTTCAGCTGTGGGCCGGTCCACCGTCCCTCAGACCATGTGGGGGGCTGGACTATATTTTTGGGGGGAAATGAACGAATTCCGATGCCCCACAAATAACCCAGAGATGCATTTTAAAGAAAAGAACACATTCTACTCATGTAAAAACATGCTGATTCCCGGACCGTCTGTGGGCCGGATTGAGAAGGCGATTGGGCCGCATCCAGGCTCCCGCACCTTAGGTTGCCTACCACTGTGATAGTCTGGGGGGTTGGGATGGATATACAGTCATGCCTCAGGTTATAGACGCTTCAGGTTGTGCGATTTTGGGTTGCGCACCACGCCGAACCCAGAAGTACCGGAATGGGTTACTTCCAGGTTTCGGCGCTTGCGCATGCGCAAAGCACTAAATCGTTCTTTGCGCACGAGCAGAAGTGCCGATTCGCAACACGCGCATGTGCAGACGCGGCGCTGCGGGTTGCGGACGCTGTGGGTTGTGAACTTGCTTCCCGCACATATCACATTCACAACCCAAGCGTCCACTGTATACCCAATGCCTGAGTGCAAAACCCACCTATATCTGTGATCAATAAAGTTGCGGCCATTTCTAATCCAGATCTTTGTTGGCTTGAGTTTATTAATCACATCTTACATTTAGCCATCTCTCCAGTGTGTTTGTGTGTGTGACACTGCGACTGGGCCCACAGTGAACAAAGAAAGAAACTTCGTGGTGAGTTCTCCCACTCTCCCCCCCCCCCAGAAAAAAAGCACTGCTTTACGAGGAAAGGGAGTACTGAAAAAAGGAGAGAAAGGAACAAGCTCATCATCTCTCTTTCGAAGGACGCAGGGTACCAGATCAGCCCTTTCCTGGGCTGTTACATCTCCGCTATGCTCCCTCCTACTCTCCTGGCCTCCTGCCAACCGGGCGCATGTAACCGGAGGCCCTCGGTTGCATCAGTTTCCCCTCCAGCGCTTGTAAACACAAAACTTTCTCTGGGGACTCTCTGGCTGTCTCTCGTTCTCCAAGGATGGGGGATTCAGCAACCAGAGAGACCTCTCTTATCAGAGAGAGAAAGAGGTTTGCCGTGCGAGGTGCACGATGGAAAGAGGAGCAAGCTCTCTAGTCTTGCACAGACACTGTTACAATCAGAGAATTATAGAATTGCGGAGTTGGGACCCCCAAGGGCCTTCTAGTCCAGCCCCCTGCAATGCAGCAATCTTTTGGCCAATGTGGGGCTTGAACCCACAACTCTAAGATTAAGAGTCTCGTGCTCTACCAGTTGAGCTATCCATGTGTGTCAATTTGGAGTTCCAGTATGAGGTTGTTAGAAGTGAAGCATGGGGGAAATGGGGCAATCTTTATTCTGGATTAATCCACCTGGGACACAGTTGTCCCTGTTTGATAAGATTGCAGGCCTTTCAAGCGTGAGCTCAGCAAATTCGGACCAGATTTTAAAGGGCTAAAATGGGGCAGCAAACTTGAACTGGTGTATCTCTACAAAATGAGAAGTGGGGAATCCTGTCACTTGTACTAAATCAGCAGCTTGGGGTGGGGGGTAATACCAAGGGTCCAAGAAATACCCTTCACACACTGCATAGTTAAACTATGGAACTCACTGCCACTGGAAGCAGCGATGGAAGCCACCCTAGATGGCATGAAAGAGGATTAGAGAAATTCATGGAGGAGGAAGAGGTTGCCAATAGCTTTCAGCCACGATGCCTAGGCGTCTCTTTGGCCTGATCCGGCACATTCCTGCTATGTTCTTACTCTGGGGCAGAGTCTCCTGCAGGGCTTCAGATTTTCGTTTTCCGCATTTCTGGTGCCTTTAGACGTGTGTCTCTGAGAACGCTAAGAGTGCTTGACTGCTTGAGGAAGACAACCACACATGTCTCTGTGTGACACTGCCTCATTGTCCTCCTTGCCAGTCTTTTAAAGGGAGGCAGTATATCTACATTTGCCTGATTTTTCTCCTGTTGGCTTTTCTTTGTAAGCTCCTCCAAGAACAGAGAAATTTGTTGGTTTAAATGATTTTTAATGCCACTTTGCCTAAAAACCACATCAAGGCACCCTCCCCTCAGGCTTGCAAATGACAAGCTGAAAAGATAACAGCACAAAAGGAAAACGGATTGGGAGGGAGAAAGAAATAAGCAAGTTCAGAGCCAAGTTCTTAGCTGCCTGTTATCAGTGTAACTCTGTAAACTGCATCCACCATACTCTGAAATCAATGGCACAGCTACCTTAATTCCAGTGGGTCCATTCTGAGTGGAGCTGAGTTGGAAGGGACCACAGGGGCCATCTAGTCCAGCTCCCTGAAATGCAGGAATCTTTTGCCCAACCCACGACCCTGAGATTAAGAGTCTCATGCTCTACTGACTGACTATCCCAGTGTTCCATTTACCTATTTATTCCATTAATTAAATTCGCATACCCACCCACGCCATCCAACCAAGTTTTCTGCGTGGTGTACGCAGATAATAAAATACAATTCATATTTAAAAAACAAAAAGCCAAATACAACAAACGAGCGAAATCAGAAAACACAGAATACAACTCTTTAAACGCAGTGATTGCTGCCCTTTCTCTTTGCTTTAATAAGGGAACATCTTTAAGCGCATCGCGTGTCTGACTCACGTGTGAAAGCGGCCTTTCGGAAGCGTGTCTGAAACCACGTGGTGGGCGGGGCCAGCAGGCGTTCTGAGGGCGGGGCGTGCGCGGAGGTGACTGTGTACCTTTCTGCCCGCCCCACCCCTCTCTCTCTGTCAGCCAATCGAGCCTGCATATGCAAACGACCCGGCCGAATCCGGCCCAATCAGGAGCGCGGCTATGCAAAAGAGCAGCCTTCCTATTCTGAACCCAGATGCTGGAGGCGAGTGAGGCGCGGATTGTTGCGGGCGAGCTTCGGGCAAGGACGTTGTGCAACAACAACCATCATATTTCAGTTTTTGCAATTCGTGCAATGCTGTTTGCAAGAAGAGGACCCCACCGGGCAGCGGCGCCAGGGCAGAGGATCTGCTACTGAGGCGGAGAGCTTGGCTTTTCCCCCGGCAGAGGGATAGCAGGACCGCACACCTGAGCACAGGTGCGTCAGGTAAGCCCCAGGGGAGGCGAGGACTCCCAAGAATGAATGGGCTGGCGAAGCTTAGAGAGAGGGGTGTGTTGGTTGGGGCGGGGGACACCTGGAAGGCTGGGGAGGCGCTCTGCACATGCTCAGAGGTCTCCACGCCTGCCATCCTTCCAGGAAACGGGTCCTCCTGATGTTCTGCCCTTGCATCTCGGTATTGTCTACACTCGCTGGAAGTGGCTCTCGGGAGTTTCAGAATGGGAGTTCAACTTGGGGTCGACCCTGGGATTCCTGCATTGCAGGGGGTTGGACTAGATGGCTCTTGGAGTCCCTTCCAACTCTATAATTCTATGATTGCATATATATAAGATCATCATTATTATTATTTATAAAGTGCTGGAGATTTGCTGGGTGCTGTAGAGAGATTCAAATCTTTGGACCGTTTCTGCGGGAAGCCTTGTCCTCTTGATAGTTGTGGCACTAAAGGAAAACGGAATGGGGAGGGGAAAGGAAAGCAAGTGAGAGCAGGTGCAAATCGAAAGACGAAAAGCAAAATAACCTTTCGGAGTTACATGTTCCTCGCACCTGGTGTGGTAACCCCAGTTTGCAGACGGGCTCTGAATTTCCTTCTGAAATGGAGGCGTTGTGCTGTTCTTAGTTATGGTGTCCGGCATGGGAGGCACGAGAGAGTTACCTAGTCTGGTCCCACCACAAAGCCATCTCTCCAGATTCTTCTTGCAAGGACAAAACGGGGAAATTAAAGGATGTTAGATAAGTGATCCAGCCTTCTGCTTAATGGGGGTGAGGGAAGATTAAACGTATTAATTCTCCCCTCTCCTCCAATCTCCCAATCTCCTCCATCTTTCCCTAGAGGAGGTAGACTCAGTTGTTAAGCTTGGGTCTCCTTTCTAAAATCTAATCCCAATTTCTTTAACAAAAAAGGGGAGGATTTTTGGGGATTTGTGGGAAGTTTTAAATAGCAACTCAGCGTTACAATCTGCGGAGAGTTGTCGCTTTTCCTTCATATGGATTTTTTATATCATTTTATAACGTATATAAAACAGAGAGAGCAGTTATAACCACAGATGCAAACTGAAAGATGAGGAGCAAAACTTTAAAACAGGTGTGTCGAACGAGCACAGTTGCACGTGAGCTAAAATAGCAAGTCCAAGTATATAATATTGGCGTTATCTGATGATCAAGTATAGATCCAGACTTGCCAGGCTTTAGATGTGGCTTGCCTTCCAAATGGTGCTTCCACTATATATGTCATGGGGAAATGTCAAATAATAAAAAGAGGTTCTAGTCCTTGCCAATATCTCACATTTTCATGTAATTTTCTCCATTCTTCCAAGGTGAGTGGCACCAATTATCCTGTGTCAGATTTTGGGCTGTTTTTCACTGAGTTGCAATTACTATTTCATTTCATTTCACTTTTAATTAGTGTACTGCCTTTCTATACACAAGTCGGGCATCTGAGTACACACACATTATTTATTTCTATCTTTAAAAAGGTGTCATCTTTTTCTAAAATACAGTATAGAAACTGAGTTTTCGACTCACACCGTGGTTTTTACATTGTCTTTTTTTTGTGAACTGCCATAAGATCTGCAGATAAATGGTGGTATACAAATTTAATAAATAAAAATAAAATTTGCAAGCTGAAGAAACAACAAAATAGACAGCAAAGATCCCACACCTAATAACAATCTGATCCAATACAAAAAAGTCACAATGAAAACAATTACTTTAAAATAAACAACATATCAAATAAAGCAATATTCAATAATCCATTGTAATATAGTAAACGGTAAAATTAAACATCAGCAAATAATCATTAAACAGTTTACACTTAACAATTACAATAAAGAATTTACCAAACTTTAATCAATAAAAATAATAGCAAGTCACAATGCATAAAATACCACAAAACATACAAAACCGTGGGAAAGGATCAAATTGAGAAATAAGGACACACAATTTACAAAATTATTTTTTAAAATATCCCTGAACTCCTCTCTTCCCAACTGCTTCTGCTGTTCCTAAAGTCAAGGTCTGCAAAGTTTTTGTGATGCCTTCATTCTCTTGTCCTTGCAATGAGAAGAGTGACATTTTTGAAAAGAATAAAGCGATTCCGCGACCGCCGTGAACTGTACTTTCCCCCCACATCTACAATCTTCCATCACATCAGCAATGTGTCTGGAACTGCACGAGTTTGGGATGTCTCATGGCGAATTGCAGACTTGCCCTAAAACCGGCTAAGAATAGGGTTTTTTAAAGAAATGTCACAAAGTACAAACAAAGATTGTTTTAAAATAAACGGCAGGTGCACATTTTCGTAAGGTGGAAAAGTTCATCAAAACAAAAATGGCTTTCAGGAAAGAGAAAGTACTGAGAGCAGGCCCTTGATAAATCTCAGCGCTTACTTATTTATTTCATAAAATTTATACACCGTTTGATGGGGAACAAACAAACAAACAAACCTCAAAGTGCTTTACAAAGAGAATGAGAACAATAAGGTAAAAACTACTCTTTAAAACATTCAAATGATAAAATCAACAAGAAACTAAAAATGTATTAAAAGATACAGCAACATTTGATGTGTCCGGTTCGGCTTTGCCTAACAAACGTGTTTTAGCAGGTGCTGGAAAAAAAGATACGTTCTGCACTGATGTCAACGGGCAGGGAATTCCGGAGTGTAGATGCTGCCACGATAAAAGATTGATTTCTTGCAAAAGGGGATCGGGTATTATGTGGGCACCTGTAAGCCGTCCCAATGCCACGGTTCCAAACTATGGAAAGGGCATGTAAGGGGTCGGACGATCGCGCTGGTAAACTGGTCCCAAGTTTTTAAGGCCTTTCTTGAACTCAGCCCAGTAGCAAACTGGCAACCAGTGCAGATCTCTGAGCAGAGGCCTTATATATGCTGACAAGGTCACATCAAAAGCCCTGCTTTGAGTTACTGTGGAGAGAGCGCCTGGTATTTTAGGCACCTGCCGGAGAAACTCTTGAGCAGGGGTCAGCAAACTTTTTCAGCAGGGGGCCAGTCCACTGTCCCTCAGACCTTGTGGGGGGCCGGACTATATTTTGAAAAAAATATATGAACAAATTCCTATGCCCCACAAACAACCCAGAGATGCATTTGAAATAAAAGCACACATTCTACTCATGTAAAAACATGCTTATTCCCGGACCACCTATGGGCCGGATTTAGAAGGCGATTGGGCCA